ATCACCACCACCTGTCCAAATACCGCCTGGCCCAAGTGCAGCCCCAGCCCAGCCCTCCCACTTGGAAGAGGCTGGCACAGCCCCCAGCCCACCCTCACCTCACACACAAATACCCTTTATGCCTTTCCTGGGGAGCACGCAGAGGCAAGGAGCTGCCCCCTCCCACCCCCTGCATCCCCCAGATCAGCCTCCCATGGCTCCATCCCATGCCCCACCCCACCCAGGCTGAGCAGCATCTACCCCTGCCCCAGCCCCACTCCATCCCTCACTGTGGGGGCCTCAATCTGCACCCCTCTATGCCCCTTCCCCCACACCTTCCCCCCTACAGACTTACTGGTTGGATGCCACTCTCCAAGCTGCCAACCTGCGTTCCTAGCCACGTGACCCAAAGTCAAATGGGGGTCCAAAGTTCAGGGACTGGGTACACAGGCTGAAACACTGGAACAGGCTCCAGGGAAGTCACACAGACAAGAGCTACATGCAGACTGAGGCTATTTTGTTGCACAGCGGGGGCTAAGTGCTGCCAAAGCTCCTAAGAGCAGCACTGGAACCAAGCAGCAGGCTCAGGCTCAGCTGGTCCTACTTAGGGGGTTGAGTGTTAGTGACCAAGTTGCCTGACTGCCATGCTAAGGCCTTACAGGTGTAATGAGACCTACCTTTCGCCACACCATTGTAGGAGTTCTGTCCACTGCAGTACTGGCAAGTTTACCTAGCGAGACGCTAGCATTCTCCAATGCATTCTCTAATGCATTTGCTAATTCCATGCGTTGTTTCTTTAAGAGCCACAATGCCTGCCATTTCTTTCTTTACATTTCCATCTATTCAAATATAGCAAACAAATATTACTAGTTGTGGTTGGTCTTTGAATTTGTCAGCAGAACAGATCTCTTATATGGGCCTCTTTAAATTATTGGAAAACATTGGCTGCCTACCAGAACTCAGTCAGCATAATCTACCCTTTCCATGACAGAATGTGGGGAACAGTCAGCTATAGGGGATCAACATCCAAGGCTTTTGAGATTCAAAGCAGAGTCAAGCAGAGCTGTGTCTTTGCCCTCACCCTATTCAAGATGATCTTTTATTCTGACCTACACTTGAGATGGTATAAGCAGGTTGAGCTTCAAGGGTGGCTGCAACGCCTCTTAGTGGTCACACACTTCTTACCCTGCTCCAGCTCTAGGGTGCCCTCCCCTTCTCACTTGTCTGTTATGCCCTTGATGTAATTGTTTGGATTAAAAGGGGGGCTGCCCAATAGGTCCTAGAGCAAGCCCCAATTCCTCTAGCAGCCAGCAGGTTCCTCCTGGACTCAAGCCTGCCCTTAAGCTGAGTGGGCACTCTTGGCCCATCTGTGCCCCAGGACACCTGCAAGTCTTAAGGGCTAATTACATGGCTCCAACTGCCCCTTACGCTACCCGTCAATGATTTCAGTGGACATTTGGCCCCAGTTCAGTACCAGGCCACCTCAGGCCTTTATACCCTTGTCAGAGCCTCAGCCTTCCTGGCCCCAGCCCCTTTTCTCTTATCCCAGGATACTGTGTTGGGCCTAACTGCTGAGTCCCAGCCTGAATCTTAGCCTCTCGGGTTCGACCTCACTTGGGCATAGGCCACTGATCAGATTTCTACCATCTAAGGCTGTCTCCACCCTGCCTTGGGCACTGAGCCTGCTCTGGCTCCATGTGGGCACCTGGCTCCTGTCTCTGCCCCTCCCATGCACAGGATCCCCATGGCCCTGGCTTTGTCTTCCCCAGGCACAGGGCCCCCCGGCCCTTGTCCAGCTCATGCCCCAGCTAGGCTTCAGCTTCTCTCGCGCTCTAGACTTGGATTTCCCCCTCAGGTCCAAGCTTGGAATCAAGACCCCCAGGAGGGCTCTAAACACTAGCATGCCCCTGGCACCCCACTGTGGGTTAAACCCTGGGTACCCTGTCATGGCCTCCATTCACTCGCCTTTCAACTACTCCCAAACCACCAGTTGAAACTGGAACCCAAGAGTAAGCTTTCTGGCAAACACAACTAAACTCTTTCTGGGTCCAAACATAAACAATAGCTACCTGCCTGCATAACAGGGCTTCCACTTACTCCATGTAGGGCATCAGCACTATTCTGTGGCATGAGGTAGAGAGGAATGCATATGGCTTTTTCTTCTGTTCACCTTCCTCAAGACAGTCCCAGTACCAGCTAGCAGATTTCCTACATTCCCCTTGCCCTGGAGCTCTTACCTCAGTGGTCTGCAAGGCCAGATTGCCTCTTCTGGGCTAAGCCCTGGGCTTTTGAGTCTTTCCTTGGGTCACCTGACCCTCTGCTTCCATCCCTGGCCTGTTAATCACTGTCCACACCTGAGGCAGATAGTCATCTTATTTAGACCCCTTCTACCATCAAATCTGTTCAGAGGGGCTAGGCTGACCAGCAGGCCCTGGGCTCCCTCCCCTTTCTCAATAATGGGTCAGGGGCCCTGTTACAGCCAGACACTGAAGGAATTTTATTTTCATACGTGTTCAACTGACATGCTTTAAAGTGAAGACTAAAGTGCAGAAAGTTTTGATTCGTGAGCTGCCGTTTGCTGATGACACTGCACTGCACTGATAGCCCACACGGAAAGAGACATTCAAAGCCCCATCAGCCTATTCACTCGCCCCTGTTAAGAGTTTGCTCTTATAATCAGCCAGAACACTGATTCACCACCCATGATCACAAGTTGTAAGTAAATCTACATACCTTGGCCATATTGTTACCAAAAACCTGTCCCTTGAGGCTGGACTGAATACCCACACAAGCAAAGCATCAGGTGTCACAAGTATGCTGAGGAAAAAAGAGCTCAACATGCAGAGGAAAGAAGAAACCTCAGGAAAAACCTTGTACCACATTCAGGACTGTTAGATACGAACTGCACATGTGACAGTGCAGAAGGGACTGTCATTCAAGAATTGTACAACCAAACCCACAGATGTTCAATGAGCTGATACCTCACAAGGTACAGTGCAAATCTACTGGCTCAAAAGACAGACAGATGCCTATTGAGGATTGGTCTTGGATATCTTGACTTATCTGATGGATCACATGGTCAAAAACCCAACAAAACAAATATATAAAAACTGCTTCATGCTTATTTTTATCTCCACTATTTCTTTTTCTTGCTTTTATTTTAAAAACTGTCTCCTACCTGCAATGCACTGTCACAAGACACTTTGGCCCAAAGTAGAAACTAGCCAACCTCCACTGGAGGATTCAGCTTGAGGAGGTGGCACCTTACAGCGGTAGAGCTGAGGTGAGGAGAGAGCCACAGCAGTATAAGGGAAAGGCAGCATGCATGGATGAGGTCCTCTAGTAGTGGGATGGGTGAAGCCACTGAGTGGTGGAGCAGGGCACCTGTATAGGATAGCCAAGACAGAATAAACTGACACAGGAGAGGCCTGGCTCAGCAAGAGGTCTCACCTTTATGAGGAGGGGTTTTAGTTCCCTGTAACAAGCCAGGGTGAATAGGGATGGTATTGTTGCATTTGAGTCAGGTCATTATCCTAGCACAGTGGTTCTCAACTTTTTTTAACCCCTCATTAGATTCAAGGCACCTCTTGGAAAATGACAGTTCTTTGTTTTCACTTTTGTTTTCGACAATGGAAAAAACCAATATAACACTTCTGTTGCAAAGAACTCAGAAAGACCACAACAGGTCAGACTCTATTTGAAATCTTGTGAATCATGTTTATCTTGTGAATCATGGTTGCTAAGTGTTAATATTATGTGGCCACAGCCCCTGGTTGAGAAGCACTGCCCTAACATGACAGGATATATCTCTGTGCTGTTCTGTGGCAAAAGGTGACGGGAAATGCATGTGGCTTTTTCTTCTGGCACTGACTGGGAACTGTACATGACTTGCAAGGCTCAGTTTGCAAGGTTATACATGACTTGCAAGGCTAGTTTAGAAGGTTTTAGATATATTTGAAGCACAAAGGGATATAAATCTTTGTTCTTTTCTCCCCTTCTAGGCCAAGTATAGATTGTCAAAACTCCCAAGACTGACTCGATTCAATCTTTGCAGGTGAGTCTAAGCTGTGTAGATTGAACTGATAAGTGAGTGACAGGCATCCTCTTTTGATTCCAGAAATGCAGCCACATGCCTGCAGTGGCTCAGGCTCAGAAACTGGGGGACACCAAAGCATGCCTCCCTGCTCGGCTGGAGCAGACAGCTTGGGCAAAGGTAAGCCAGCCTACCCTGCGAGGGGCGGTTGTGGGGGAGGTGCAAAGCATCCTGGGATGCTGGGGGACTATGAGTTAATTTGAACCTAGAGGGGATCTTAAACCAGTTTTGGCCTTTCTAAAAGCAGTCTATGTACATGGAACTTCTGTTATGTTACAAATCTAAACCAGTTTCTGATCACTTATACCAGTTTATGTGTAATTTCTGTCCCTAGCCCTAAAGAGCCCTCCATCTGCTTCCAGGATAGAGAAGGGTTTCTGCTGTTTCCTTCTCTCCTGTATGCTTGGCTGCTGTAAGGAAAGTATGTTTCTGAGCTGTCCTATCCTTCTTTCAGATTTCTGGTGTTCTCAATTAAGAGGACAGTCCAGTTTATACCCACCACCTTCTCCTTGCTTGTAGTTTTTTTTAATAAACCATTCTAGTTCCACAGAATAAGTTTCTATGCCTTCCTCTGCTGTATAATGAGCCAACAGTAAGTTTAAATCCTGTCTCCCACTGGGCTGGCCTTCTCTCGCAGAATGCTACAGCTATGAAGAGAACTTAGGTCACATGTTAAGGCTGACCTAAAGGTAAAAGCTATGTAAAACACAAATTCACTGAAAAAGCAGATATAAATTCTGGATTTTGAGCTGATGGCAAGACAAGAAGACAACCAACAAACAGAACAGAGGCTTGGCATGAGTAGTAGACCTCAAACCTAAGCAAGCTTTGCATAGGGAGATAGATGGTCCAGAAGTAAACTTAGTCACAAGATCTGCTGTAAGGGATGAACAATGGGACAAAATATAACAACTGCCAGCCTGCTCAAAATGAAATATTTAATTTTCTTAGGAAGAAATGGAGAAGTAAAAGTGTTAACAGTTGCATTAGGTGACAGCAATTCCCTAGGGATTCCCTAGGTATTAGGTGATGTGAGAGTAACCTGAAAAGACAACCTATTAGAAGTTGGGAGTCACCAGACAGAAAGGTTCAAAAAGACAAATATGGATGAAGAAATATGAATACATCACCTTTGATGTGTGGAAGGATAGATATGGTATCACTGATGAGAGAGATGGATGATCCTGCTGATTTGCCTGTCTTCATATCAGTCTCAATTAGCTTTGCCCCCCATGTAAGGATCTTTGCACGATCTGTGTTCTCCCCTCTTCCACATAAGTATCCTACATTCTCTCCTCATATGTTTAGGGCTATGTGTACCCTCTCCATCATGCTGTCTCCCAAAAATGTTCTTTCCTTGAAATTTTCGGAATGAATAAGCTGCAACATTTAAACACTATTACATTACATCCAAATAGAAATATATTATTGAGTACAGGACCTCACAAGCTTGACCAATTATTGGAGTTTGGTCATAAAATACTCTTCACTACAGCATCATTATAGATATGCAAAGCCCATTGCAAAGAGGCAAAATAACTTCAATTTCTACAGGTTTATTTAGTTGACAGCACACAAAAAAAATCTCAAGCACAGCAAAGACCCAGGAACACCTACTGATTTACTATCAATGAGCAGATAAAGAAGGGAAAACACACAAAACCAAATTTACAAGTACCATGAATCAATACCAAAGTAAGTTCCAAGGTAATGTGTGACTGAGGTGGTATAGTGATCCAATTCATAGTTGCGAAGGCCAAAATGAACCATTCGATCTATTATGTATATAAGATAGTACCTGCTTCCTATTCACAGAAAAGAAATCCATAAATTTTGGCCCTTTGCTACACAGCTTACAATTCTCACTAACACTGATTTTAGAAGGGTTGAGAAAAGAGTGATAGCTACACAAACTATTACTCGATCTGTTTTTATGCAGAGAATAATGATGCGCACAGGGAGAAAAAAGGTTCCAGAGGGCAGCAGTGCCCCAGCAATTACCTCTTCCTCTACCCAGAGTGATGCAATACACCCTAACACCTTTTGTCCAACAGCTCTCCCAACTACAGTTTCCCCTATATAAGATATCAAAACAAAACCTTGCCTAAGATACTGGTATAATTCATGACTGAAACCCTTAATGTTCTGAATCAACATCAGACTTGCCATATTTATCTGGACTTGATGTCCATGTAGTTTAATGTCCTATCTTTGAAGGTGACTAGTACAAGATGTTTCACAGGAAGGTGCAATAACTTCTGCAGCAAATAGAAGTGGAAGATTTCCCCTGTTCCCACAACAGTTATCTTTGTTAGTAGGAATTGGCATAAGTCCTGAAATACAAAGCAGAAGACTTAATATCACTTTCAATTTTTTTTTTTGGTCTTTCAAAATGCGTTTATCTTATCTCCACGGCTTCCTCGATCTGAATTAATTATACACAACCATAATTATATGTTGTTTAAAAACTATTTCCTTTTATCAGCATTAAATATGTCATCTTTTAATTTTATTTGATATACTAATATCTCATCCCTCTCAATATACTAAGACAATAAACAAAACCCAAAACAAAAAACCCGGAATTTCTGACTTCTTGAGGACATATCTTGTTTTATACTTTAGTTGTACCTCCTTGTCAATATCTCTTCAATTGATTTTCTCCCAAGTCTTTAATCACCCTTCTCTGAAGCTCCTTTAATTCATTATTGTTTTTAAATGGTGGGAAGAGGATCATATACATTATCTCAAACAAAGCTAGCCCATTGATTCATAGTATTTAATTATTAATATTGTCCTCCATACCGTTCCTTCTGCTCCATACTACTTTGCTTGCCTTTTGAGATCACAGCTGTACATTTGGCTGAGGTGTGCATAGAGCTGTCTGCAGTGTTGTCAAAGTCCTATTTCTACATTGATACGTTTCATTTAGAACCTGATATGATATAAGCAGTTAAACTTTCCTGACAATATGCAATATTTTGGATTTATCATCAATGAACTGTATTTGTCTTTTCACTCTGTTTAGCTCTCTGACATTCTTCTTGGTCTTTACTAAATGCCTTTTTTCAGTATCAACTTTTGCTGCTTTATCAGTCATCCCCTTTTTCTAAATCACTAATAGATTAGATGTCACTGGATCTTACATAGAATGCCAGTGCACCCTCCTGATAGACTTCTGCAACAATAAAAAATTGATCACTAAACTCCTGAATACCACAAGAACCTCATACAAGGTATCAGACAGCACAAGTTGTATAGAAAACCAAGTCAATTACTGAAGATGGGTCCAAAGCAAAATACCAGGAAAATTTTGAACTTGAACTTTCAAAATGTTTGGATGTGGAACAGGGATCAATATGGATTAATGGCAGATCAAGAAAATATTAGTAATTTGAAATAGCTGTGAGTACTTTAGTATCCTAGCCATATGTTCTTAAGTTCTTTTGCATATGTATCAATGAGGAAAAGTTGGTCTTAGTGACTTTACAGTGCTTTCAGACTTTTTATTTTGCTAATGAATATGTGGAAGTCTAGATTACTTTAATCTATGATTCATGGCATATTTATTTAGGACAATCATATTTAATAGTAAAGTAGGTACTGTTGTTGAACACATGGTAACATAATTCTGATGTTACAAGATTTAGAATTTGCAGTATATATCATATTTTAATACTGCTCCCAGTTTAGTTCCTGCTAAGCACTCTTCAAATTTTGCATCCATTTCCTGGCTCTGAGCTTCAGTAAAGAGGGTCTTCCAATCTTGAACAACACCTCAGAAACAATGAAACAGACAAATTAATATTCCTGAAAAAAGCACAATTCAGATAAAGAATATTGAAATGTTGACCCAAGTTGTTGAAAGACTGACCTTATTACCTCATTTCAAATCCACATGTTGCTTATACAAATGTTGGCAGGATTCTTTGAAGTGAAAGTCTTACAGTGACTTTTACATGCATCTCTGCAAGCACCTTTTATAACCAAGAGATTTTTCCCCCCCAATCTCATTTTGAAAGAATAGCAGTAGGTGCTTCAGTAGTCAGCTAGTTTTGAAAATCTTTTTTTCAAAAGATGAAAGTTAATTTTCAGCCATGATTCAAAAGCATTAGTCCTGCATTTGGGACCTCCCAACAGAGCTCACACAGGGCACATATCTTAATAACTTTAAAAAAATAATAATTAACTCTCTAGATCAACATTTATTTGATGATTTTTGGATTGAAACTTGAGTAATCATGCTATAGAAATCTACCTTTTCTGAAAATAATAGGACCAAACTTGCCGTGTGTTTCTGCAGATTTACTGCTCATTGACTGGAAAGTGGCATTTTCTGCAATAGATTGCATCTTTTCCTCAGGCAGAGTCAAACCCAAAAATTCAGCTATTTTTTTCACTCCTTCATACAGGTTCTGAAAAACAAGAATGTGGTGGAATCAAGTCAAAGTGAATATGTCTGATCTTTTCCTGTACTGTTGTATCATATTAACATATGTCATTCTTACATAAGCCACAACACACAGGATTAGAGTATTAAGTTCAACCAAAAAAGGTTGTGGGAAAGGTGATTATTTTAGATAATATTTTACAATTCCCTCTCCAAAATGGAAATACAGGAAGGAATCATTCTTAATATTTTGCATTTTTCCTAATTATTGCAATTGAGGAGATTTTTGTGTAACAGCAGGAACTGTTATTGCAGAATCTTAAATTGTAAGAGTAAATGTACACATCCTGTAGGTTGAAAGATCTGAGGAAAGGCACAAACAATAGTGCCCAAAAGTTCACCTACTGTCTCTCCCAATTATATAGTTGGCTGCTATAGATATCACCAGGGATCTAGGTTTTCTATTTGCCATGGAAAAACACAGATTTTCTCTTTTAAAAGTAGAAAAAAAACCAAGAAAATCTTTAAAGGAGAAAAACACGGAAACCACGGGCTTCCCCTTGCAGGCTGGGAGAGTTCCAGTCTACAAGGGAGTGCTTGGGGCTGGAGGGAGCAGGAGGAGGGTGATCACAGGCAGGGAGTGCCACATATATGTATACCTGCACACATGCACATGGATGCCAGGCAGCATGGTAGAGAGCGGCTCCTGCATCTCTCTGCAGGTAAGTCTATAGGTAAGGGGGCATAAGTGACATGTGGGGGGGGGGTAGAAGTGGGTAGACTGAGGTGGCAGTAGCAGCAGCTCATCCCGAGCCCCCACAGTGAGGGAAGGAGTGGGGCAGGGTTGGCAGCTAGGGCTGTGATTGCTGCCCAGCTGGGATGGTACCCAGGGTGGGAATGTGTGGCCAGGGGGCCTGACTGGGGAGCAGGAGAGAACCATGGCTGGCTCATCAGGAGGGTGGGGAGCTGGCAGGGGGGCTGGTTCCCCACTGCTGCACACACTCCCAGGGTGGGGTTGGGCACCATAGGCAATGTGTCTGAGGGGCACATGCTCCCTCAGATTTGTGCACCCACAGCAGGACACAGGCCTGCAGCCTGGCCAGACTGGCATGGGCAGGAGCTGCCTCCGTGGCCCAGTAGGCAGGACTCAGCATGGGAGGGGTGGCAAAACTAGTTGCTGGTGCTGCTGCTACTGCCAAACCCCCCATGCCAGCTTCACTGCCAGCAGTGCAAGGACTAACGGGCTGGGGTAAGGGGCACTGCTGGAGACAGGGGGCTGTGGTTTGGGAGTGAGGGGCACTGGTGGGCTTGAGGGAGGTTCTGGCTTTGGAGTGAGGGGCACCAGCAAATAAGGGCTGCTCACGCCACAAACCAGTGAGAGGGATAGCCACAGCTGGACTCATGTCCTGGGCAGGGGTAGCTCTGATTTTCTATGATAAAAAAACAAAATCAAACACAAAAATATATAGGTATTTAGCATTTATTTTATGTAACGGGAAAGACATGGATTTTTTTAATCGGATAATTTTGGATATTTAAACAGAGTAAATCAGGATCCCTGAATATCACCCACAAAAATTGCTTCTTGCATTCTAAATACCTATACATTTTGGCATTTGATTTAGGGTTTTTTATTATGGAAAAATCAGAACTCCTGCTGAGACCACTCTGTACACTCCAGAGAATTATACAGAGAAAAATTCAAAATTATGTGCAGAAAAACTCAACGTTATGCAAAATGCATTATTTTTTTTTTTTTTTTTTTTTTT